ACGAGGCAAGTGTTATCCTCCTTCATTCCCATTTTCTAGGAGAGGACACTGAGGTTGTCACTGGAGTGATTTATTCAAGGTTCCTGAGAAAGAATTGAAGTGGGAAGAGCAAGGCCACATCTGCATGACTCTACCCTCACCTCGTCAATACGTCCCTTCACATTCCTCAGCACAGAACTCAAATTTATTTCTGTTTTGTGAACAGCATAATGATTCAATACATGATTCGTTGTAACACATGGCATCTTTTGGTTTATAGAAAACCACAGAACAATACGGATCTGTTAAGGAACATATAATAGCATCTCAAAATGTCAAAGGACTGAGATATTCAGAAGTGGGTATAAAGTCAGATAAATCAACTACAGAGAAATTTCACTTGCCTTCTAATGCAGGAATCTCCCAGCCAATTCATAGCTCAGCCCTAATGTCTCCCTCTCAGCACGGGGAGCCTACTTGTACACAAAGCTATCCATTTCACTGTGGATAGCTGCCAATCTTAGAATGGTCTGCTTCACTTTGGCATTGAATTGCCCAGAAACAATTAGTCTAAGTTTTGCCCTCAAAGGATTGATCAAATAAATAGGTTGATTGCTTAAAGGTTTGCAGTCCGAAGAGAATTCCAGATAGTCCTGGTGTTTTCATGTCTTCCTCAGGCCACTGAAAAGGGCCTTGTTTTTACAGGAAGGAATGGGCTTCAGTAGAAACACTAGGAGTGAAGGCAGAAGGCGGGGATATCTGCATCTGATTTTGGCAGCCTTTGGTGTAAAACATTAGAGAAATGCAAAACACGGAGACAAAACAAGACAAGATCTTTGCAAGCACTTAAACCAAACCATGTCTGAGGTTTCCAGAAGACAGAAAACTTGATTCTTTCAGATCATTTCCATTTTTGTTCTGTCTCAGGAACTTCTTGCTTCTAACTAGGCCAGGAAGGTGCATGACAAAAACATCCAAAGAATGTCTCTTATTATAGAATGTTCAGCCTAATTTGCACAACCAGGAAGTTGTGATACTTCTGATAACATTTGGATACGATGTTCAGAGTTTGCTTTGGTCTAACCAAATTTGGGAATCTTATTTGAGGAGGATGGACGAGAGAGCCTGGAAACTATTAGAAGTCATGGGCTTACACAAAATCACAACTGAAGGTTTAGTCCATCCTGCCCAAGATTGGTTTCTTCAGAGTAGTGACAAGACACTGAGAGGCTGTGGGCTTACTCTGATAGAGTTGTGTCACTTGACAGGGCTCTCACAACTAAGTCTTTCATAGTTATCAGGCCAGAGGCTAGGACTAAACCTTCAGTTTCTAAACAGGTTTCTTCGACAGGCTCTAGACAGGCTATAAGGAGAAATCTCCAACAAGCACCGACACTTATCATTTTGGCAGCATCTAGCAAAGTCAGAGAATGGGAAAATCGATTTTAAAATAAGGAAATGGGGAAAACTTGCCATTTCACCATTTCGCCATTCTCCGGGTTGACAGTGTATCACAGTGAACACTAGGAAATCACAGAACAGGGCCACCTTGACAAGCAGAAACAGTTGAATTTGAAGGTGTAGGCAGTGACTAAAAGTTTGCTCCTGGAGAATTTGAGCACTTCCTTTGATTTGCATATTGATAATCAACAGCATCACCACGCCTCCGGGTGTCCCTGCTTGTTCCCCAGTTAAAATCGCTCCTAGTTTCCATTATTTCCAACTGGTATTATGACCTCTATTTCCAAGATCTTCACTGTCATCTTGCAGATGATTTTTCTACTCAGTCTTCTCACACGCAGTGTGACTTAGTGAAAACCACTGTAATTCATTCTTTCTCCAAGGTAGACACTGATTTCTGCCTTGAAGCTGGGCTGGGCAACAGACTTGCTCTGATGTGTCCAGCATAGTGAGTGTTCTCCGTTGGTGTTAGTGTTTCATGATCCTGCAGGCTGCAGGGTCTCTTCATGTATGAATGTATGAGTGCATGGATCTCTCTGTTTTACAGAGACAGAAAGAGAGAGAGAGAGAATACGTATATAATTGTGCTGAGGGAAGGTAATAGGGCACATAATGCATCTTCCCAAGTTATTCCTAAGCCCGATTCCGAATAGTCTCCCAGATTTCCTCTCAAGCCATCAAAATCTTCCTTGGAGGCTCAGACAGTGTGAAAGTTGACCACCACTCTCCTTTAATCAGTGCACACGGTAATGAATGGTGTAATGATACTTTCTTTTCCTGCCTTGTAGGAAGAGATGTACATTTTTACATCAAGAATATCCAGGCTGGGATCTGGTGTAGTAGCCTAGTAGCTAAAGTCTTTGCCTTGCATGAACCAGAATCCCATATGGGCACCGGTTTGTGCCATGGCTGCTCCACTTCCCTTCCAGCAACCTGTTTGCTGGGAAAGCAGTAGAGGATGGCTCAAAGACTGCGGACCCTGTGCTCAGATGGGAGACCCAGAAGAAGCTCCTGGCTCCTGGCTTTGAATTGGTTCAGCTCTGGCTGTTGCGGCTGCTTGGGAAGTGAACCAGTGGGTAGGGGATCTTTCTCTCTGTCTCTCCTTTCCTCTGTAAATCTGACTTTCCAATGAAAAGAAGTAAATCTTTTCTTTAAAGAAGAATATCCAGGCTCTGTGCATGTGTCTGCACGCATGTTTGCTCGTGGTGGTGTGTTGTGCATATGCAAGCGCATGTAAATGGTGAGTGTGTGCATGCACACATACAATTCTCAATGGGGTATGACATATTTTTATACGTGTGTGTATACAATTGTATGCATTTTGGGATTTGTGCACATAGTGTGTGTGGTGATATGTGGGCATGTATGCTCATCATGCACACATATGTTTGTGTGCAAGTAAACATGAGGGTGATTGTGTGTACACACACGCATTGCATAAAAATGTGCACATGACTTCCGGGCATTTGCTTTCAGACGAGGCGCTCAGGAGGCTTATTCTGTGCCCTCTAGGCTGCCCTCTGCCTGGTCCTGAACCCAGCTTGCATACAGATCCTCTCTCTTGACCCTATATTCTCCAGGGAGCTGATCTCATTATAGCAAATTTAGTTACAGCTGAAGTCTCCTTGTAACAAAGATTATGTCCTAGCCCAGAATAATGGAACCTAGTCGATTTCATTAAAATAAAATTGGTCACAATGAATAATTCAATAGGATGATTTTGTTTCCTCATCTCCTCTTTGTAGATCGAAGAGCTAGTATTTGTAATGATTTTTTTAATTGGATTTTTGTTTAGGAAGAGATAATCACCCATAATTCCTGATAGCCCCTCCTTACAAGATTGGTGTAATTGCCCCACTGAAGCCTCCTTTTGGATGCTTAGACCTGAAAATTCTGCCTCTCCTTTTCTCACATTAATGACAATAACCCTTGAACGATTTTTTTGAGCACAGCTACCTCCTCAGCTCCTGTTCATGTGGGCCTCTCAGGAGGTAATAGCTCAACTGTTTCAATGATGTTTAGAAATATTTTTAGGAGATGGTTGCTAGCAATGGATTTGGAATTTCTTGATCTCCAAGCAGTACTTTCTAGAGGATGAAGATCCTTGATCTTCTCTATTACTTTGCTGCTGAGCATGGAGCAATGTGTTTGTACTTGGATGTCAGGACTTACATTTTTTTGAACCAAAGGAATCTTATCCTTCAATTTCACTTTCCACATTTTTTTTTGAAATATCTTCATGTGTATGCCCTTTAGGATTGTACCCAGAGTCAATTAAACAAACATTTCTGGAGTGCCCAATTTTACCTAGGATGTTCTTAGAGGACAAATGCCAATAAAACTCCAACCTATCTTCAAATTATTAAAGACTGATTTGAAGGCTAGACACACAAATGGACCAGTGAAACTGGAAACACATCCATAAGTTCAGCAAGTGCAGAGGTGGCACAGGGAGAATGATCACCAATCAGGGGGATATACACTCATTAATTCAATCACCAGCCTGGCACAGTACATGTAGGTATGCATCAAGAAATGCCACGTGGTCTTTCTATTTTCCTCAGGGCATTCAGTAATGAATGTAAATAAATAAATAAAATACTAAGCAAAAAGATGAATGGATACATACTACAACAAATGCTATAACCAATAAATAAGCTGGTCCTTCCTACCTTTTATATTACCTAGTGATTCTTCCCTGGACCATGTCTCTCTCTTATCCAGATGTTAAGTTTACCCAGCAAACTGGAATTAAGGAAGAAGCTAAACCAACACACTCTCTGGGACTACAACTTCTCTGCCAGGCCAATGGGCAGGCTGGACTCAGAAATGGCCACTGGGCCAGGCAGTCAGAGACACTAAGCTGTACCTTGGGGAAATGGGAGTCTCCAAAGAAGGCAGGTGCTTGCTCTGCAGTATAATTGGAAAGCAGGCCCTGGAGATACATGATCATCCCTGGACTCACACAAGCATTGGTGGCCCCAAAACTGCTGTTCCCATAACTAAACTGTCAGTCCTTGGGGGAAGAGTCATGGCACATAAATAGTACATTAGGAGACTAAGGAATAGATCACAGCTTCTTACAATTGCAAAGGTCTTTGGAGACCATAAAAGTGAACTTAAACATGGGGGATGGTGGAGAATGAGGGCCTGGAGAGGTAGGGAGAGTAATCAAAGGCCACACAATAAATTATCATTAATTCAGGCAGCACGCAGCTTGACATTCTTCTTTACCCCACCCCCGAGCAGAACATGCAGCAATTTTTTTAACCAGTTAAATGTTAGTGTTGCATTCTAAACAGTGTTCCTGTCCAAAATGTGCACTGCACTAGTTACAGAAATAGCAGGGCAATCATTAACCTAACCATATTTCTGGACTTGGACTATCCCATTGCTAACCCATCACAAGTGGCACTCATGAAGCCCTAAAATCAAGTATGGTTAAAGAGATATTTCATTTGTGACTAACACTGATACTGGTTTTGAAGAGGTAAGCTTTGAGGGACAAGGCAAAGATATTGGATGTCTTCAGGAAATGCCATGCATGGCTGGGGTCTTACCTGAGATGCTGCTGGCTGCCCAATAATGACCCAGCCTGGGCACTGCTGATCTTGATGAGAAACTGAAACATTGGATGCCCACTGATCCAGGAATCCCTGGGGTGTGTAGACACCACAGTCCTTAATGCTAGTTTTTTGTTCAAACTCTTCACATACCCCGTCACCATCATGAAAATAGCACCGACTGGGTTGATCTGCAGGAGATGGACATAGGGGAAAGAAAAAGAAAAGGTAGATATTTATTCCTCGGCTTTAGCTATCAGCAGCTGTGAAATCACACCACCAAAATCATCAGCCCAGACAAGCCCATAATCTTTAGTCGTTTTGAAATGTTGTTCAGCCTAAAAACTAAGCAAATCCTGCCATAGGCAACAATACAGACATACCTGAGTGACAATATTCTAAGAAAACTAAGCCAGTCACAGAACAAATAAAAATGTGGTTCCATGTACTTAATATCTAAAATATTTGAACTGACAGAAGCAGAAAATAGGATACTTGCTAGCGTTTGGATATGGAGATGGGGAGAAGGGAGAGTTGTTATTCAATAGGAATGAAGTTTCAATTATGAAAAAGAAAGATGAGAAAGTTTAACTAAAATATATATAATGGAATATTGCTATAGTTCTCAATATGGTGCTGTTACATTTACAGCAGGTGGGTGGCTGGTCTAGCAACACAGATGTCTACATTCCACACCAAAGCATCTGGGTTAGATTGCTAGTTCTGGTTCCCACTAAAGTGGACATTGGGAGGCAACAGTATTGGCTTAAATAATTGTATTCCTGTCACCCACGTGGGAGACCTGGATTGCGGTCCTGGCGTCTGGCTTCAGGCCCCACGCAATCCTGGTTGTTGCAGGTATTTGGGGAATGAACCCAGACAATGAATTTCTCTCTGAGATAATTCTTTTTTTTTAAAAAAGATTTATTTTTATTATTTTTTTTATTGGAAAGGCGGATATACAGAGAGGAGAGACAGAGAGGAAGATCTTCCGTGCGATGAGATAATTCTTTTAAAAACGTATCAGGAGGGTAGATAAATGCCATGATCTGCATTTTTTTTCACACAATATAGAAGAAATCCCTGAACATTTCTGCCTTCATCACTCCAAGTGAGCCTCATGTCAATCTCATGAGGAAGGTATGTGTATTATTTCCAATGTGATCTTAATCTTACAGATGAAGAACCTCAGATCACACATCTCTTTCATACCTGCCCAGGGTTGGTTGTGCAATGTGTTCATTCCAAGGCTGGGTCTACAAATCAGGTTTTCCATTTTTAAATACTGAATACATTACTTGACACTACTGCACTTCACAGTTACAAATGTGTTTTTTCAACTCCAAAGAGAATTTAGATCTTTCATAAAGACTGAACCGATATACAACCTGGCTTCAGTCCCAGCTACAAAACGAAACTGCTCTGTTACTTTAAACAAGGCTCTTCCCTTCTCAGAACAGAGGAGGTGGTTAGCTTACTGGGACTCTGAGAGCCCTTCCTGTCTAATGCCGTAGGCTTCTGAGGGCTGGTTGGATACCTTAGGAATTTTAGTTAAAGACCAAGCAAATTCTCAAGCTCCCATGTAATTCAAACCACAGCAAAAGTTTCTGGTTGGCATGATTTAAAGCTGCAGCTGGCTGCATGGATTCCCACTTGTTGCAGGCATGAGGACTGAAGAAGCACAGTCAGTAGCCTGATGCTTTCCAATCAGGTGTGATCCAGGCAGGTTTCCTGGAATTTCAAAAACAATCAATACAAAGAGAAATCTGGACGTGGCCATATGAAAAAGATCATCCTGTCTCTATTCATCTGAAGTCAGCACTTTTGTTTTTTTTATCATTTTTCCAAGTTTTCTAGAGGAAGATAAAACTTGCCTCTTGTGCGTTTGTCTGTTTCATAAAGATTTCCAATTTAAGTTCTAGCTACTTTGGATTTGATCCATCCAGCTCCCTGCTAAGGCACACAGGAAGGTAAGACATAATAGCCCAACTAAGTTAGGTCCCTAATATCCGTTTAGGAGATACAGATGGAGTTCTAGGCTCCAGGCCTTTGTCTGGACTAGCCCTAACTATCACAGATGTTAGGGAATTGAGTGAATAGAAGATCTCTCTCTCTCTCTCTCTCTCTCTCTCTCTGCTTATAAAATGAACAACCAAGCAAATCTTTTGAAAATATATCCAGGCAATAGACAAATATTCTGGCAAAATCTGTGTATATCATGAAAATCAGAACATTTAGTCATCATAAGGGCTTATGTGATGAAAGACATTATTTTCTATAAACTCAAGTGCAATGGAGTAAAGATTAATAGAAGGCCAAACACAAGAGTTTTATTTTTGTCTTCTGCATTACTGTGTGACTTTGGACAATGTGCTTTGTTTCTCAGGCTCTGGCTCCCCATCTGTAATGTGGAAATGAGTTACAACAGGTTACCCTCTCAGGATAACCATGAAGCTCTCCTAGGAAATGAACATGAATTTGTATACCCTGAAATCTAGAGATAGCCGATACCAACGAGGAATGCCCTGCATTTCTGTAATGCCAACTGTCTGAAAAAGGAGTCATTGAATTCAGGGGCAACAGAATGCTGAGCTCCTTCCAAGCTCCAAGATCTCTTGTTTATTTCTGCAAACAGTTTACATAGTGAAATGCTATCAAAAGAGCCAGAATAAATCAATTCATTATAATTCAATTATTAAAGGGCAAACTTGAGCCAACTAAGGACTCCAGTGATCACTAGCATGCCTGGCGGTTCAAGTACAAAAAGAACACAAGCTCAGCACTTCTCCACAGCTCTTGGTAAAGTGTTGCCCGCTTAGATACAATGAAGTTCACCCAGTGCAACAGTGACCTGACATAAACCTGACCTCCCTCTAGACACCCAATAAAAGGCATTGGCAAGGATAAAGACTTCAATAGCAGGTAAATGCAGTTTTGAAACCTTAGCTCCAACACACATAAACTACACAGGGCTCCAATACAATAAAATGACCTGGCTTCTCTCATCCTCATTTTCCTCATCTAAAGCAAATAAAACAAAACCCTAGAGACAATAATATTCACCTAGTGTTGTTCGGTGGATATGTATGTGAGACAATGTGTATACTCTCAGTTGCTACAACCGATTATCTAATGTTAAACCTGAGAGCTGGAGAAGGTAATACATCAGTTTCTTTGTCACAGACAGCCCTGGCAGCAGGGCTGGAAGTAGGGGCCTCACTTTTTACATGTAGCAGATTCCTTCCACCTCCATGAGGTTTCTTCAGAATGATGTAAACACACTCTCCTGAATACACAAACATGGGATTGCCTGACTCTTGGTACCACCTTTCTCCTCCTCCAACTTTAAGACAAACAGAGCAAGATAACAGTAAGATCTATTTTCTAAGATTATTTAATTCGTTTCTTTAGCAAAATACTCTTAGTGTATCAGGAATCTAGGGATGGAGCTTGGTTTTCATAAAGGCTGATTTATCCCTAATTATAATTAGGATCATAATAAACCTGTATGATTTAGAATCAGCACAACCTGAGATTAGAGAAGAAGTAAAGACACACATAGGTGGGTAAGTAAGCAGATTATACATAGATTAATGGATAGAGAGCAAAACAAACAGACTGGAGGGGGGGTGGGTTCGGGTGTGGTTGACGGAGGTAAGAGAGAGGAAGAGAGAGAGACTTGGTTTCTTATCCCAGATTTCGCTGGCAAAGCCGTCTTGTGCCCTATACTTGCTGCTAGTGTCCCATAGGCCCTTCACTGAATCTGCCAGTCTTCATCTGGGGAATTTTCTCTTTTTTCCTCTCTACTCCTTGTGTGCCAAGCACTGAATAGATCAGTGTAAGGAATGGAATACAAATAGGTGGCCAGGAAAAAAAGACAATAATAACGAAACAATAAGACAAAAGTGGCCTTCTTGTTTTCGTTACATGTATTTACTTGGTGTCCCTTGAATGCTTTATCTTGGGCATTGAGCAGGTTTTTGTGAAGAGTTAGAAGTCAATAGCAAAGTCAAGTTATGACCTTATTGCCCTGCCTTGCATAAAGTAGTTAAATGACATTGAGAATGCATTCTATTGTTATTATGAGGATTACTCTGAATTTTCACGCATTGTATACACAGATACACACATGCAAATATGTTCTACTGACTGACATCAATTTTTAAAAATAGATGAATGAAGAAGGACTAATTTTGGCTTCTCTGATGGACATATTCTTGTCTGTATACAGTCTAGACTCTGTACTCTTCGGAACCTTCTTTAGCTTATATCTTAGGGTAAACAAAATGCTGCTGTGATATGAATATGACTGGCTTTCATTAGGATTGTATGGGCAGCCTGACTTCCCCATCTCACTGTTTCCCCCAACCTAAGGGAATTCCTCATTTCAGATTCCTTCCCTTTCATGTGGTAACACATTTAGAAATCTATTCTGCTAGAGAACTTGATGTGGGTGGAGCAGTTATTAGCAAAGTCCATCTTCCCCAGATGAGTTTCCCATGCCAGAAATTCTCTTTTCCTTTTGGAAGAAATGAGCTCAACTCCAAAAACCCAAGACAGATGGACTTTCTGTTAGTGAACACACATAACTGATGCTGTTTCTCATTGACCTAATTTTCAATTTTCAACTGTCTGGAGCACTAAGATTATATGTCATGCATTCCTGAGTATGTCCAAAGGACCATATTTGAGATAAGCAGAAACTGTTTCCCTCATTGGAAAGCTTAAGAGGCAGTCTTGAGAAAATGGAATAAAGGTACCTTTAAGTATAAGCAAAGGCTTGGTTTGGAGGTATTGTTGAGGTTTGTTTTTGTGACCTACAACCTGGCTTTAAGCTCCAGTTCTGCCCTGATTACTGGTTAATTTTGAACTTGCTATTATACTTCTCTATGCCTCAGCTTGCCCATATATGAAATGGAAACAAGATTATCTTTTAGATTCTTTCAATAAGGCATGGAATATGATAAAAATCATGGTAGATTAGGAGATGAGGAAGCAATACCACTCTTAAAGACACAGGGTCCATTCTTACTCAATGATGATAGCAGGTAGAAAAGTCTTGTTAATGAGAAATTCTATTTTAATGTACTCAATATTAGGTCCTAAGAAATCACAAAGGATAGAAATAATAAAAGAAACATACTAAAAGAAGGCTGCTTTCGGTGCTGATGCAAGAAATCAAGGAAACAAA